GAGTCGGCAAAGTCGAGGGAGCGGTTGGATCTCGCGACCGAGCAGGTCTCAGTTATTTTGTCCCGGGTTAGGGAGCAACCCGTTTTGAATTTCCCGACCCAGAGGAGTCTGTCTGACAGGATATGAAGCTTACTTTTTGGTTGCTTTTGGGTATGTTGCTCATTGGTATGGAAGTTTTGTGTGATATTAGGAGGAAGTATGTAGACATCAGGTTGTGTATGTGTTTTGTAAAGGAGCTTCTAGGGTTATGTTGTGTGGCCTCATGAGAATCTTTTTGTGATTTGTAATGTTTCATGTCTTCTACAGAAGCCGAGCAAATGATAGAATGAGGAAGTGTGAGTTATTTCAGTATCATCACTTGCTCAGGCTCCATCCTCTTGAAATCTAAGTGGGGATTTGGAGTGATCTGAGAGCCTATGGAAGAATGCAGTTTAATAAATATTGGTAGTTGGACCCTCTATTTAAATTCTTTATGAAAATATATTTTTCAATCAGAATTTGGTCAAAAACAAGAATTCTCTCTGGTGAGAGTGCGATTATCTCTTCTGAGAGTGCGATTATCTCCGTGAGAGATTGCTTGATTCCCTAATTGGCAGGCCCATCCGCATTAATCCCCTCTTTTCTCCTCTCATCCTTGGTTTTGCTTTCCTTTTCCTCTATTTTGCGCGTCGTCGTTTCGTTTATCATTTGTTATTTACCTTGTTCTTCTCTTTTATTTGGATCTAATTTTTAGCAGGTGGCTCTCTTATATCCCCTTCACGCTGGTCTCATTCTGGTGTAGGCTCTAATGGATGACGACTTATATTCGAAACTGAGCTCAATACGTCTATCGGAAATAGAATCTGAAGCAGCATCCCTAGATCCAGGAGATTTCCAAATCAGCAAAGAAGAATGTCAAAGAAGTCTCTTTGGGAAAATCATTGGAACCAGAAAAGCCCATCTGGTGGGGTTGAGAAGGACAATCAGTCACATTTGGCAAATTAGGGCACAATTTGCAATCAGAGAAATCAGAGACAACTATTTCCAATTCATATTCTCTGATATAGCTGATAAGAATAAAGTGTTAAAAGGGACCAGCTGGATGTTCGATAATCAGTATCTGGTGTTGAGGGAATGGCAAGAGGATATTTCAGAAAATCACTGGATATTTCAAGAATTAGACATTTGGGTTCAAGCATGGAACATTCCTCTACACTGGTTCTCAACGGAGTCGGAAAGTTGGAGGAGCTTTCAAGAATATTAAAGATGTCCAAATTACTCATGGGGGTCCTCTGTCCGGTAAATGTTTGAGACTGAAGGTTACATTAGACCTGAACGCCCCGATACCTCGCTGCACACACTTAAAACAAGGAGAGAAGAAGGTCCTAGTTGCATTCAAGTATGAAAAACTCTTGAGTGTGTGTTATTATTGCGGAATGGTAGGTCACTTAGACAAGAACTGTGACCGAAGAGCTACTGACATTCTGCAAGGAAGTTTGATGGAAGGACAATTTGGTGAGTGGCTAAAAGCCCAAGAGTTCAATCCTGCTAGCTATGCTAACTATATGATATCCAATCCTATCACCCACCCTTCCAGCAACAATTCCAGCCAAGACACATCTAACCACACAAACAACCAATCAGATAACCACCCACCTTCCCCTACCAGTAATATCTCCAAACAAAATCCTACTACCATGCCCTCTGCCAATATGATTACATCTCCCTTACCATCCCAGCCACATGAAACACACCAGATATATCCCACTCCAGCTTCTCAGGAAATAGATATCCATCCTCAAGCACCCAAAAATGCCGATGTTACTGATTCTGCTAAACCTGCCTATTCCATTGCTAAAACCAACTCCCAACCAATAACTCCCCCTGTTGATACCATGGACACTGACACTTCTCTGATTACTATCACCAGCAATACCACACCATTTAATCATCTCACTGACCCTCCAAATCCTCTGCCTCAGGGGATATCTGAATCCTCTAAAACCACATCCAAAGGATGGAAAAGGAAGAAACCCTCGACCAACTCTACATCTCCATCCATTCCAAATGAATTCAAAAATATCAGTGGCAAGAGAACCTTATCTGAGGTTCACATAACAGAATCCCAGCTGCCATGCTTATCTAATCAGATATCAGAGTCTCAGGAACCCCATTCTGAACACATTGTCAAAAAGCAGAAACTTCAATCGATAAGGGTGAAGGAAGCCAGCCCCAAATGGCCCCAGCCAGATCAATGAAGGTCTTCATGTGGAACTGTAGAGGGTTGGGTGGACCCTCTACAGTTTCCCAGCTGAAGGAGTCTTTAAGACTTCACCATCCAATTTTGGTTTTTCTATCGGAAACAAAAAAAAAAAAAAAAGATCCTTTTGTTAATACTGTTTGTAATAAAATAGGCTTTGGTGATAGATGGGCTTCAGTGGAACCGGTTGGCACTAGTGGTGGTATGTTGCTCCTTTGGAACAATTCGGTTCAAATCATCAATATTTTTAAGCACTCCTTCTGTATGGAGGTAGAATTTTGGGATTCTCAGATGGTCAGTCCATGTTGGGGGATTTTCCTATATGCTAGTACTGATTCCAACAATAGACTCCAACAATGGAATTTTCTCAGGGCTGAAAAATACAAGTGGGGGCAGAATTGGTTTTTGGGAGGTGATTGCAATGACATTACTTGTCAGGAAGAGAAGAATGGAGGGAGAGTAAGACTGCAGTCCTCCTTCCAGCAGTTTAAGGACTTTATCAATGATATGGGCATGCAGGAATTCAATATGATGGGCCACCCATTCACATGGGGTAACAACAGGCAGGAAGAAGGATTCGTTGAAGAAATATTGGACAGAGTTTTTGGATCTTTAGGCTGCTACAATCTGTTTCCCAATGCTCTGGTGACCAACAATTTCAAAAGTTCTTCAGACCATGGTCTTCTCATTCTCAATCTTCAGCCTGACCTTCAAAGACAGCACAAAAGATTCTACTTCGATAAGCGATGGTCTCTTAAACAAGATGTGAAAGAAGTGGTGGAGAAAGCTTGGTTTCCACAGCAACAAGGCACTCCAATGTACCAGCTGCAAAGCAAGATTAAGAATACCAGAATTGAATTGTTGAAATGGAGTGCTAACTTCAAATCAGAAAATGCCAGGAAAATTGATAAATTGCAAAAAACCCTTGCTGATCTTCGAGTGCAAGGAGGCTTAATGGACTGGCAAAAATGGGATGACACCAAAGCTGAACTCAACGAGGCCTACAAAATGGAAGAGTTGTATTGGAAGCAGAAAGCAAGAGCCCATTGGCTGAGGGAAGGAGATAAGAACACGAAGTTCTTTCATGCTCAAACTGTTCACAGAAGGAGGAAGAACACAATCTCAAGGCTGAAGGATGTTAATGACACCATCATCACCGATCAAAAGGACATTGCAGAATGTATTGAAAACTTCTATTCTACTCTTTTCACTTCTGAAGGTGATATGACTGGAGCTCAGTTTATCCAAGATATAAGTCCTGTCATTTCTGAAGAGCTCAACACCTATATTCTTGAACAAATTTCAGACGGGGACATAAAGGAGGCACTATTCAGCATTGATACTTCTAAAGCCCCGGGCTTGGATGGTATGACTTCCACTTTCTTTCAATTTTTCTGGAATATAGTTAGCCCTGATTTATGCTCCTCCATTCTTAGCTTCTTTGACTCTGGGCAGATTCTCACTAGCATTAATCATACTCTTATTACTCTTATTCCTAAAATCCAAAATCAAGAGTTGGTCTCTCATTTTAGGCCCATTAGTCTTTGTGGAGTTGTGTACAAAATTATTTCTAAGATTCTTTCCAAAAGATTGCAATCATGTCTTCCCCTATGCATTAG